ACCTGGGCATAGCAGCAATCCCTCATTTTGGAGGATCAGAGCTACATATCAATGTGTATGGCTTAGGATTGTCTCTTCTTGACACCAGCCACGCCCTGCCATTTGACATAGAGTACACGTCTCTCTCGGCTTTCTTCCTAACAGATGTTATCTCCATACTTTTGCCCCCAGGTGTGTACTACTGGCAGCTCTTGCCTTGAGCTTATGATATACACTTGTTGGCTGACATTTCAGTCTTCTGGTAATTAGCTAAGAACTTGACCCTGGAGTCAGATTCAAACTACAGCCCTTCTACTTGCTAGATCTGTGGCCCTGAAAAAGTTGTTTAATCTCTCTCAATTTTCACATCTGTAAAATGGAAATAGTAGCAGCATGTAATTCGTGGGACTACTGTGAAGATATGAGGTAAAGGCTCAGAATAGCAAATGGTTTATGGTAGCTGCTTAATCCAATTATTCAAACTTGGGAGAGTTCACTGAATGTCAACTATAGCTAAAAACATGCTAAGAATTTACGTACTGTCCACTACAATCTTCAATTCCTTGACTTTGGTGTGATTCTTTTTTAATTTTTATTTTTTGAGACAGGGTCTCACTCTGTTGCCCAGGCTGGAGTGCAGTGGTGTGATCACGGCTCACTGCAACCCTGACCTCTCAGACTCAAGAGATCCTCTCACCTCAGCCTCCCAAGCAACTGGGATTACAGGTGCATGCCACCACACTTGGCTAATTTTTGAAATTTTTTCTAGAGATGGGGTCTCCCTATGCTGCCCAGGCTAGTCCCAAACTCCTGGGCTCAAGGGATCCTCCTACCTTGGCCTCCCAAAGTGCTGGGATTAAAAGCATGAGCCACCATGCCTGGCCTGATTTGATTCTTTAACAAATACTTATTGAGTGCTTACTACATGCTGCATACTGTACATACAGACTTCATGGATACAGAGAAGAATAAAACCCCAGTTGTCCCTGCTCTCAGGAAATGTGCTGTGCCGTGGGGTAGACAGTCCTGTTAGGAGATACATTTAACTCAATGTGCTGAGAGTGCAGGGCTCATTAGGAGCCTGGAGGAGGGTACATGGATTAACATGGCTATTCGAGGAAGGAAGAGCAAAGAGTTAGCTACATGTGGAAAGGTGGGAAAGGATTTCTATGCAAAGAGAACATATACTAAATATATAAAGGTGGGAAGCGACCATGTGGTGAAAGGACCTATGAATGGTTTCCTGATGTTGGAATATGCATTTTACACTAGGAAATGAGGCTGGAGACAAATGTGGGCATGTGGAGCTTGGGCTTTATTCTGCAGGACATTGGGGGGCCACTAAAAGGATTTTAGTGGGGAAATTACAGTATAGAGTGAGGGTGCAAGGTGGTTGGAGGTCAAGATTGGAGCAGCAAGAGCAGGCAAGAGGCTTTTGACAGAAAGAATGGCACAAACCAGAGCAGCCAAGGTAGGAATGAGTGAAAAGAATGAGTGGAGAAATATTTAGGAGGTGAGACTGCAGGACCCATAATTGATTGGATTTGTGGGAGTGGGAAGGAAGGGAGTCTTTGATGATTACCTTTTGCTGTTGTAAATTCTGAGTTAATGCACCCCTTCCCTGGGAGTTTTCATTTTAGAGGATGCTTTTTATTCTATCTTTTCAGAAGGATCAGTTAGACAATTAGTTGCATAGGCTCCTAATGTTCAGTAGAGAAGCTACCTGAGGAGTTGGAGTCAGTTCTAAGCAGTCAACTTAAAAGGCAGTGGAGATATTATAGCATTTAGTGTCTCTGTGTCTCAGTTTTCTAATCAGTAAAATCAGTGCTCGCTCCATTGGATCCATGTGAGGACTAAATGAAACAAAGCTTTTATAACAGTTTCTCCTGTAGAGCAAACCCTCAAAATAGGTGAGTTACAGTTAGTATTATGGTTTTTACTGTCATTCATTTTATAGCACAGCCTCATGAATCTGATTACCTGGGTTCAAACCCAAGCTCTGGGTGAAACGGAAAAAAGTTATCTAATGTCATTAAGCCTCAGTTTCTCATCTGTAAAATGGGGAAATAATAGACAGTGATTTAAAAAAAAAGGGCCTCTTGCAGAGGCTTGTGTGTAGATAGGATGAAAGAATGCACATCAAGCATGAAGCTCAGATCCTGGCTCACAGTAAGAAGTCGGGAAATGTAAGCTACGGCTCTATTCCTTGTTGTGTGCTAGGCACTTTTTTGTGTGACATACAATTTCATTTTCCCTGCATCCAATAGAGTAGGTTATATGATCCCCATTTTACAGATGAGGAGATTGAAGCAAGGGGAGGTTAAGCAACTTGTTCAAGGTCCACGGCCATAGATGAGCTGGTGTAAGTTGTTCCATTTAGAATGACTTGATACTTTTAGAATCTTTAGGAAAGTTCCTGTAGGCCCATAGGAAAAGGAGTTTATAGTTCCACCTAGTTCATGACTATATTAATTTCTATCAGAAGGGAATTAGAATGATCATCAAAAGTTAGAGTTGGAAGTAACTTTATTGAATATTTGGAAAAATGAATTGCAACCTCATGTCTCCTGGTGTGTAGTTTAAAACAAAACAAATGAAAGCAACAACAACGACAACAAAAGTCCAATATACTACCAAATTTCTGCCAAAACCCAACATGGAAAACAGGTAATGTGGATCTATGCTGGCGGGAGGACAGGCAGGACAGTTCGAGCCCTTTCCCTTACCTGTTCTGAAAGGGCATCACAAAGCCCCAAGGAACACTTTAAAAATCACAGATCAGAAAAATCCATGTTTGACTGATGAGGAAACTGAGGGTAGAGAAATAAAGTGACTTTCCAATGTCACACACCAGGGACTCATTGGAGTGAGGGTTAGCAATTCATCTGTTTTGGTTGCCCCAGCTCTGCAGTCACTGGTGTTGCCACCCCTTCCATGTGCTATGCTGAGTCCTGGAGAAGGATGCTCCCTTTTGGACAAAAGCCTGTATTAATGTTCATAGTACTAATACTTAATTTTTTAATTTTTTTTTGTGCTTTTAAAATTTTCTATGATAAATATGTATTGCTTCTATAATCAGAAGAGATAACTTTTAATTTTTAATTAATTAATTTTTTTTAAGAGATAGAGTCTTGCTCTGTCCTCCAGGTTGGAGTGTAGTGGTGTAATCAGAGCTCACGGCATCCTCCAACTCCTGGGCTCCAGCAATCCTCCCACCTTAGTCTACCGAGTAGCTAGGACTACAGAGGTGCACACCACCACACCCAGCTAATATTTTATTTTATTATATGTTTTAGGAATGGGGTCTCCCTATGTTGCCCAGGCTGATCTCTTACTCCTGGCCTCAAATGCTCATCCAGCCTCAGCCTCCCAAAGTGATTTCTCTGAGTGCTTGTTGTGATAACTTTGGGTTGGGTCTGGAGGCTGCTCCAAAGAGTTATGATGTTGTTCTGTGATGGCGTGTTTGCTCTTTATTTGTTTATTTTTGATACTGCCCAAAGTAAGGCCTAGCATTAGAGACCTCCCCTCATCTGTCCCTAGTCTACCCTTCTAATATCATCTCTTAAGACTCTAGTCAAAAATGGCTAATTGACTGTCAACCACACCAAGCCAACTGGTGCTAATTCCTGCCTTTCAGCTTTTCCCATATAGTTCCATCTGTCTAAGAAAGCCTTTCCCCAGAATCTCTGCTATTGAAGTACTGATATTGCCTTTCAGAGGCCCATTGCACACCCATTTCACTCATTCACTGATTTATTAATCCATCAACAAATGTTTATTAAGGGCCTCCATCTGCTAGGCACTGACTGTTCTATACCCTTGGATAAGAATGGTGAATAGAATAGTCATGATCTCTTCAATTATGCAGGTAAATCTTCAGTGACAGCCTGATAGTAAGCAAGTAAACATATAAGTTCACACATCCATCTATCCATCCAATTGCAAAATGTGGTAAGTGTGATGAAAGAGGCCCTATTTCAGGATGGGTGGTCAGAGAAGGCCTCTCAGGAGAAGTGCCCTTTGAGCTGACACTTGAAGGATATAAGGGGAGAACTGTGGGAATGATGAGGGAAGAGTTTTTTAGGCAGAGGAGGTCCTCAGCTAGAAGAGTTGGAGGAACTGAAGGAAGCTCAGCGAGGCTGGAGCAGAGTGGATGACTAATGACCACCCAACGTGCTAAATGTTTCACTGATACATTTTGTATATTATTTGTCTCCCTCTGCTAGAGTGCAAACTTCAGGAAGGAAGGTATTTTTGTCTAATTTATTTACTACTTTATCCTCAGTGTCTAAAACAGTGCTTTGAATGTAGTGGCACTCAGTAAATATGTTTGAGTGAATGAATGCATGAATGAATGAATAAGAGTGTGATGAAAGAAAACTAGAGAAGTAGGCAGGGATGACATCATACAGGGCCTATGGGCTATGATAAATGCTTGGATTTTATTTTCATGAAGTGGCAAGTAATAGAAATTTTAACAGAAGAATTACATGATCTAAGATAGCCTTTAAATATCAGTCTCCACCTGACTTTCAGGTGGAAAAGGGTTGGAGGTTGGCAGTTGAAGAAGCAAGTTAAAAGTCTATTGCAATAACTTGGCAGGAGGCATCATGGTACTGTTGGCAGTGTGGATGGATAGGAAGAGATGAATTCGTGATAGTTTTTGGAGGACAATAGCAGGATTTGCTGATGGATTTTGCGGTTGACATTGCAGATTGATTTCCTAATATCCATTCTCCCCTTCTTCCTTATTAATATAATGTTATAGAATATAAATGATGTAACATTTATAATGTAAGTGTTGTTTGGGGGTAAGAGTGTGCCTAACTGAAAAGAAAATTCTGTATTTTCCAGCTTCCCTTGCAACTAAGGGTAATCATGTGATGTAGTTCTGACCAATGAGATGTAAGGGGGAATTGCTGCATAGGGGATTCTGGAAAAGCTCTTTAAAAGGAAGTGGATTTAACTGCCAAACAAATTTTTTCCCTTTGCTCTTCCTCTTCTTCTGGCTTGAATTGCAGATGCCGTTTGGAGTAGCTACTTTGAGGACAAGAGACAAAAAGCCTGAGGAGAAAGTCACCATGAAGGAAACAGAAAGATTAAAGAGTGAGCATGATCTTTGATCCAGAGCCCCCATCTCGCCCTGGACTGCCTTCTTTTGGAATTCCCTTGTGGAAAAAAAAAAAAAAAACCAAACTCTTATTTGGTTAAATCACTGCAAGTTAAATTTAGTTTATATATCACCACACTTATTTCCAACTGATTCAGATTGGATGTGGGAGCAGCAAGATAGGATAATTCTATTTTTTCCCCCTTTCTTCAAACAACTGTTCAAATGGAAGACTGGGTGAGGAACAGATTTTAAATGGAGGTTGTGTGTGTCAGTATGTATATGTTTGTGTCTCTGTGTGTGTGTGTGTGTTTGTGTGTGTGTGAGAGAGAGAGAGAGAGAGAGAAGATGAAACCCAAGACTTCCATTTTGGATAGTTTAAGCTTGAGATGTCTGTTAGACATCCACATTGTAATGTTAACCAAACAGTTGGTTTTGTGACCTTGTCTTTCAAAGAAGCTCTGGAATAAAGATAGAAATCTGGCAGTTGTCAGCATAGAGATGGTATTTAAAGTCATATAAATGGCTGAGATTTCCCAGAGCAGGAGAGTGTATAGATGGAAGAGCAAAAGCTCCATGGCTAAACCCTGAACATGTCAGCATTTAGAAGTAAGGAGAGGAAGAGTCGCTGTAAAAGAAGAAGAAATAGCCTGTGGGGATTACCAGGAGGGCAAAGTGATGTCAAGACAGTGGGTTTCCTGGACCCACCTCGTTTTTGCGTGGCACACTCACGTTGTGCAGCACCCATTGGACACTTTTTACATCCTGCACTGGATATTACTTCTCTTCTTGTGTGTAGGCTGCTTTCCCTCTTGTTGAGATTTCAGGTCTCCAGGGACTGGGGTCATGTCTGTCCTTTGTAGTTCCCCAAACCAGGCACAGTACTTCACCTTGAGGCGATGCTCACTAATGCTTGGCAGTGGTAATCTGTGCCTGCTGGGGGCAGGGAGAAAAAAGAGGGTGTTTAGAAACAGAAAGCTAGTTTGGAAAAAGAAAAAATTGGAAAGTATGCTCAATCCTAGGTTGAAAGGCTCCTTGAGCTTATATATCACCACACTTATTTCCAACTGATTCAGATTGGATGTGGGAGCAGCAAGATAGGATAATTCTATTTTTTCCCCCTTTCTTCAAACAACTGTTCAAATGGAAGACTGGGTGAGGAACAGATTTTAAATGGAGGTTGTGTGTGTCAGTATGTATATGTTTGTGTCTCTGTGTGTGTGTGTGTGTTTGTGTGTGTGTGAGAGAGAGAGAGAGAGAGAGAAGATGAAACCCAAGACTTCCATTTTGGATAGTTTAAGCTTGAGATGTCTGTTAGACATCCACATTGTAATGTTAACCAAACAGTTGGTTTTGTGACCTTGTCTTTCAAAGAAGCTCTGGAATAAAGATAGAAATCTGGCAGTTGTCAGCATAGAGATGGTATTTAAAGTCATATAAATGGCTGAGATTTCCCAGAGCAGGAGAGTGTATAGATGGAAGAGCAAAAGCTCCATGGCTAAACCCTGAACATGTCAGCATTTAGAAGTAAGGAGAGGAAGAGTCGCTGTAAAAGAAGAAGAAATAGCCTGTGGGGATTACCAGGAGGGCAAAGTGATGTCAAGACAGTGGGTTTCCTGGACCCACCTCGTTTTTGCGTGGCACACTCACGTTGTGCAGCACCCATTGGACACTTTTTACATCCTGCACTGGATATTACTTCTCTTCTTGTGTGTAGGCTGCTTTCCCTCTTGTTGAGATTTCAGGTCTCCAGGGACTGGGGTCATGTCTGTCCTTTGTAGTTCCCCAAACCAGGCACAGTACTTCACCTTGAGGCGATGCTCACTAATGCTTGGCAGTGGTAATCTGTGCCTGCTGGGGGCAGGGAGAAAAAAGAGGATGTTTAGAAACAGAAAGCTAGTTTGGAAAAAGAAAAAATTGGAAAGTATGCTCAATCCTAGGTTGAAAGGCTCCTTGAGCAGTAGAATGAGATACATTATCTGACTAGAGAGAAGGGTTTTTAAGAATTTTGAGAGCTTAAGTTGACTATAGGTAATAGGGCCTAGGAAAAATCAGAAAGATGAAAGAAGAGATGGTGCAGAATCCAAAAATTTCATGGTGTCAGGGTTCAGGTGCAGAGAGTAGCTTTCACCAGAAACACTAAGGGCTTATATTAGACTTTGAGCAGGAAAGGACGGCATGTTCCCAGGGCTGGGATGAGCTCATGATGGCTGCTGAGGTGAAATAAAGAGGAAGGAACAATAAAACCAAGAATACATGCTGACCCACAGTTATGGCATAGGCTTATTCTCGAGATTTCCTGCAGTGGTCTTTGGCACAAAGTGCTGATGTCCTATGATGGAGGCCTAGGTTGTGGGAGGGAAGTAAAGCCCCGGGCTAGAAGGCCAAACTCCAAATCATTCACTTATTCACACATTCATTCATATTTGGTATGCAATTACTATAAGCAAGTCCTGAGAATACGATGGTGTAAAAGGCAAAACATATACCTGATTTCATGGAACTCATATTCTAGGGGTGGTTTGTGTATATATGAGAACAATAACTAGAAAAAAGTAATGAACAAGGTAATTTCATGTAGTGATAAGAACTATGAAGAATATCAGACATGACGATTTTCAGCTAGAGCTACCCAAAGCATGATCTTTGAGTCAACAACATCATATGAGCAATGAGTTTGTTAAAAATGCAGAATCTCAGAAGACAGCCCAGACCTGCTGGCTCAGAATCAGCATTGTAACAGGATCCCCTTGTCATTTCTTTGCATGCTAATGTTTGAGAAGCACAGGGCTAGACAGTGGGAAATGAAAGGTTTCTCTGCCTAGGCGACATCTGAGCTGAGACTTGAGTGAAGAAAAGTTGTCCATGTAAAGATCTGGGAGCAGGCCCGGCGCGGTGGCTCAAGCCTGTAATCCCAGCACTTTGGGAGGCCGAGAAGGGCGGATCACGAGGTCAGGAGATCGAGACCATCCTGGCTAACACGGTGAAACCCCGTCTCTACTGAAAAAAAAAACAAAAAACAAAAAACTAGCCGGGCGAGGTGGCGAGCGCTTGTAGTCCCAGCTACTTGGGAGGCTGAGGCAGGAGAATGGCGTAAACCCGGGAGGCGGAGCTTGCAGTGAGCTGAGATCCGGCCACTGCACCCCAGCCTGGGCGACAGAGCGCAACTCTGTCTCAAAAAAAAAAAAAAAAAAAAAGATCTGGGGGCAGAAGGCTCCAGGCCGAGGGAATGGAAACTGTAAGGGGCTGGATGAGAACAAGCTTGGCTTGTTTGCAAAACAGAAAGACCTGTGTCTTCGTCATGGAGCACCTCTTCTCCTCTCTCCTTACCTGGTTAGTCCTCACCCAGCTGTCAGACCTCAGCCTAGACCTCACTTCCTCTGGGAACCTTCCCCAACCCTCAAACACCCTTCCTGTCCAGCCCCACCCACCCAATTCTGGTCCTGCATGAGAGCGGTCTGGCTGTTTTCCTCCCCAGCATGCCTGTGATCTTCGTACTGAATAGGTGGTATGTAATTTTGTTTAATGACAATTCAAATGAAAGTGAGAAATCTAGAAAGATGGAAGAGGCAGGCTACAAAAGCAGTTCATACCACAGCTTTGTTTAGGGGCAATGTCAGTAACTCTTGAAACCTTGTAGCCATATCCTGGGCAGAAGCATCACAGCCTGCTCTCTGTGGAGTCCTCGTCCACTCCCTTTCTTTTGACCCTCATTGCTCTGAGATCTGTGGTCAGACTCTCTGCAAATATTTCCTTTCAAGCAAGGGTTCGGTGTCCAGCAGAGCATATGGGCTGCTAGAAAGGACATGCCATTGAATAAGCTACAATGCAATATGCTGGATGCAATCAGGTAGTGGAGAACAAGTAACTGTTGGAGCTTAGAGAAGGGCTGGGCACCAAATTCTGGAGGGATTTAGGAAGTTCCATTTGAAAATGCTGGCTCTTAAGAGAGGAAGAAGGATTTTTTAAGTTTAAGGGAGTGGTGGCAAGGTGGCAGTAATTGGTGGTGAAGGTGACGGAGGGCAGTGATGGTGGTGGTGGTGATGCTGGTTTTGAATGATGTGGGTGGCGATGATGGGAGATGGTGGTGGTGGTGGTGGTGATGACAGTGATGGCGGAGGTGGGTGGGAGTGGTGAAAAGGGGGATGGCATCAGTGGTCAGATGGCTGTGGTGATGGTAGCAGTCATGGTAATCATGGTGATGGTGAAGTGTATTCTAGATGGAGGTCGAAACATGCCCATGAACGTAAAGTCATGAAAGATCTCTTTAAGTCTAGAAACTGGGAAATGTTCACATGGTCAGGTGGCCATAGATGGACAGTTAGGTTGGAACAAGATGTCAAGGCCTCGTGGGCCAAGATGAATTCATTTTCATTAAAGTTGAAGTAGGTAATGAGCTTGAAGAGAACTGGCTGCACTGTGAGGGAGGAGGCGATGTTTCCTGTTATAATTACCTTTCTCGTTTTATTTATTTTTAAGATGGAGTCTTGCTCTGTTGCCCAGGCTGGAGTGCAACGGGGAGATCTCAGCTCACTGTAACCTCTGCCTCCCGGGTTCAAGCTATTCTCCTGCCTCAGCCTCCTGAGTAGCTGGGACTACAGGTGTGTGCCACCACGCCAGACTAATTTTTGTATTTTCAGTAGAGACGGGGTTTCACCATGTTGGCCAGGCTGATCTCGAACTCCTGGCCTCAGGTGAGCTGCCCATCTTGACCTCCCAAAGTACTGGGATTACAGGTGTGAGCCACCATACCCGGCCCCTTTCTCGTTTTATAATTGTCCAGTGGGACACCAATAGGGAAGGGTCAAAGGAATATATGGAATATTCAAAAATCTACTTCTCCTTAAATCCAGCATCCTAGAAACTGGAAGAATTTCCCCTTTGGGACAAAGTAATATTGAAATTATTCAAGAAAGATATTTAGTTATCTCCACTGTATGTTTTCATATGTTTTCATCTACTCAATTATTCATTAATTTCTTTACTCATTCAAAATGTTTTTATTGAATACTTGCAAAGTTCAATGCACAGGGTATGATGGCCAAAAAAACAAATAAATGACATCTTCAGCCCTCAAGTAGATTACAATCTAGTGGCTACACAACGGATAGGACTGGGCAGAGCACACAGCACTGAGAGAGTCCTGTGTGCTGAACCTGACTTTGCAGACCAGGGCAGCTCATTAACTTCTTCATTCGTCACTTTCTTCCTGAGTCTTTATTGTGTTCGTGCTACTGTGTTAAAGAATAAGAACATAAGCAAAATAGTTCTTGCCCTAAGAAGCAAGACGTTTACAGTCTAAGGAGGAAATGTCTCCAGACCTCTTTACTCCTCATCTATATTATTTATGTATTTGTGTATAGGGGGAGGTTGACCAGAAGATTTTTAAGGTCCTTTACATATTTAATATTTTATGACAAAAGGATTCAAGAGTTGTAGACAGCACCTTCATTTTATATATAAACCCAAGTTAAAGTCCATATTTTATGCTAACTTTGCTAGATGCTCTAAAATTACAGACCTCCCCTCCCCATCCCCCACCTCCTCACACAGAGTAAGTTATTTTGAATCCTTGTAAAAAGCTTATGGTGGATTCATATGGGGTTGGTAGTCAGTTTTCAAGCCTAGGTGCAGGGTGCGTGGCCATCCGAGGGAATTTCAGGACCCTGAAGGACATGGCTTGGGACGTAGTCACGTAATGAAAGAGCTGGTTGTTCTGTGTTCATGCTGGGGAATGTGGTTTGAGTGGCTGTGGGAACTTCAACTTTGTGACTTTCTGTGTAACTGAAATCGCAACCCCCAAGTGTGTCGCAGTGACTTCTCTGACACAGCACATGTAACGCAGCTCTCTCCTGATGTCTGTTTTTCTTGCTCTCAGGAGAAGAAATGGCCTAAACAATCCTCATGGGCCAGCAGTTGAAAAAATATTTGTTTTGGTTTTTTTGAGCGCTTTCCCCAGTGAAACGTGGACATTTTGAGGGGAAGGGAGATCCCCATTGTGTACGTTTGATTCATTTATCCTTAGCAAATCAATTGTTTCAAGTAGAGCCTTTATGTCCAAGAAGGCTATAGAAAGCTTTACTGCCCTTTTCCTTTCAAACAGGAAGTTGCATTTGGCCAAAAGTAAACAAATGTGAACCCGGGAAGGTTTGTTTAGTTTCTAATGCTGACTTCAGGACCTGAGAATGGAGTCTGTGCTTGGCAAAAATGCCTTCTCTGGGATCTGTCTGGGCCAAAATATTCTCTGCTTATGACCTGGCCTTTGTGCTCTGGTAAACATCCTCCTCTTACCAGCCCCCAGAAATTCACTGCCAAAGTCCACAGGCAGTTTTGCTTGCTTATCAGAAATATTCTAAAGGTGATGGCAACTTGGAAACATACTTTCAGCAGGACTTAGCTTTCTGGAGAATGGCCACTGTGAAAATGGTCTGTGGCTTGGAAATCGCATGGGGTATGAATGTAATTTGACATTCTTTGTGCGCAGGCATGGGCTAGCCCCTCTGGGTGAAGAAGCTTCCAGGAAAGTGACTGCTACCACTCAGCTAACAATGTAGTGCTCAGCTAACAATGTAGTACTCAGCTAACAATGTAGCACTTTGTAGGACTGAGCTCACGAAAGTCTCAAACAATCCTAGGAGGAAGGCGCTATTATTATCTCCAGTATACAGATGAGAGAACTAAGGCTTAAGAAGTCTATGAAACTTGGCTCAAGCTCACACAACTAGTCAAGTATCAGAGCCCTCAGCTCTCTCTGCCTTCTGAGTTAGAGATTTTAATTAGTGCAAGTTCAACATCTAAACTCCAGGAAGTTGCTAAGTATTTGGGGGTAGAACCACATAAATCAGGGGATGATCAATGTATGACAATTTATTATGACAGGCCAAAGAATTGAGCAAGTAGCATTTAAAGTTTTTAATGAATGGGCTTAATGTCTTGTTCCAGGAAGGATTGAAGGCAGCTGATATAAACTGGGCAATATGTGAGTAGATAGAGATGGTGAGCTCTAGAGGAATTTGGGATGATTCTCAGAGGAGGGACTCCAGTTGGACCTTGAAGGATGAGTGGGAATTTGGTAAGTAAAGAACATTTCAGATTTGAGGAATCAGAATCAACTGATTTTTAGGAGGCTTGCGTTCGAAGCTACTTCATGAAAATGTTCTAAGTACACGCGGTGACCTTCCTTGGGCTGTGCTCCTGCACTTGCTGAGCTCTTATATTCTTGAGAGAGGTCTTATCAACCTAAACATGCAAAGAAACATGTGGCCTGTGAAGTAATCCTTCACCAAGAGCACGTGCCAAAGCTAGTCAATATTGGGCCAGAAATTCTCCCCACCCCACCCGGCCCTGCCCTGTCATTAACCAATTCTCCCCACATCCTAGTGTCACCAGTCTTTTCATGGTTCTGAAAACATGTTATTGCTTAAGTGCATTTCTCTACCATACTTTACAGACAGTATCACTAGTCCTCACAACTGCTCTAATATGGTAAATGACATTAGGCCCATTTCACAGGGGAGGAAACTGAGACTGAGAGGGG